GAAAAAAAAAAAAAAAAAAGTATTTTTCCTCCAAGTAAATTTATTTCTTCAGTAAAGATACTGGCATTAGGAGTTAAAATACTCGCTCAAATAATACTTTGTATTCTGGGAAGAAAAAAACTTTTTTTTTTTTTTTTCAGAGCACTGTCAATCTGACGACACACATATATATGTCAATTGAAATGCAAGAGTATAAAAGAGATTTTATTAACAGCTTCCACACTCGAATTAGGTCCAGATGACACGGAGTCAATTGATATTTAATTCTTTAACGTTGAATTTTTAATATTCTTCATTGAATTATAAATAATTAAAAAAGAATTTTAAATTACTAATAAATAATTAAAATATTCAATATTTATTTCAACGTAAATTTAGTCTTTTATTATTTTAATAATAAAATAATAAGAGAGATAAATTTGAAGGTAAATTATCAAAATTCAAAGTGCCACCCAGAACTGCATACCCCTCTCTATAATTTTTCTTTCTCACTTTAATAAAGGAGACTGGATGCTCCTGGACGAGCATACGCGATTGTTAATAAAACAACAATAGTAAGGATTTTTAAATTCATTTATAAATTCATAGATCGGGATTAAGGATACTTTGATATTCTTCGAAGAACAAAAGTTTATCCTAAATTTTACAATCTACATATCCTCTGAGTTTTTTTATTTTTCTATTCAAATTAAATTAATTTTTAGAAGAATATTAAAATAAGGCGTTGGGAAGAAATGCCAGACCTCGCAGAGCCGATTAATTTTTTAAAATTAAGAAAATCTAAATGTTGTTTTATTAAATAATGACTTTTGTTAAATTGCACAGTACTTTCTTAAATATTGACATTTTTAAAGATATAAACTCATCTCGATGCTGTACTCATCGAGAGCTTTCATTTGAGTACCCACATGCATTTTTGATATATTTTTCATATATACATATATATATAATATATATTTCAAAGATATAAGCTCATCTTGATGTTACATTCATCAAGAACTTTCATTTGAGTACCCACATGCATTTTTGATATATTTTTCATATATACATATATATAATATATATAAATATATAAGATATATGAAAAATTGATGTGGGTACTCAAATGAAAGGTCTCGATGAGTATAACATCGGGATGAGCTTATATCTTTAAAAATGTCAATATTTCAAAAAATATAAGGTCATTTTATCATATAACTATCCTGGAAACAAAATTTTTCTTATCCTCTTAATAACATAAATAACATTTACCTTTCAGGTACTGCGGTCGGCACCGTCCTGACGACAATAACCGCAAACGACGTGGACAGCTCCCCGGCGTTAACCTATCGTTTCGGTAACGTAAATCACCCGAGTCCGTTCAGCATCGATCGTTACGGTGGCAAGGTCACGCTAACCGAGCCTTTGGACGCTGAGGACTGCGATGAGTACACGGTCCAGGTGATCGCCAGTGACGGAATCCATGAGGCAATCACTGATCTCACTGTCAGGGTCCTCGACGTAAATGACAATCATCCGAAATTCCAGCAGGCCGCTTACATCGCCACCTTATCAGGTAATTTATATTATTTTTTATTATAATTGTTACTTAGAATAAAAAACACCTTAACGGGAAGTTAAAAATTATACGCCCTTTTGGCATTAGGCACGCGATATGCGCCTTTTTACCTTTGCAAAGGTAAAAGGGCGCATTAATTGTTATCCGCCCTTCTACCTTTAGCATAACTTTTAAAATAATAAAAAATTTAATTTTAAAAATAAAACCAAAAAAAAAATTTAGTTATTAAAAAAGTCTTGCTGAACGAAATTCGCAATGTCAATTCAAATTTGCACAGCCTCTACTAAAAGTAACATCATATCAGGATCAGGACAATGAGAGTTGTTTATGTTTACTAAAAACCTGTTTTAAACGTTCATTTATTTCACGGCATCGCCTGTCTGTCGGATGCTTCTCGAAAATTTATCTCTTTTATTAGTCGAATTTTTCACCCTCTTCACTTTTGTTCTTATTCTTCCTCTTTAAAAAGAACAAACTTCTGTTCCTGGCTAGAGACTCAGGTAAGAATCACGGAAAAAAGTAAACTGTAATATTAACTTAGATTCCGATTAATTTTTATAGTTTCAAACAGTAAAGCGGACGTCGGGGCGCCAAAAATATAAATATTACAGAACTTAATGTAGAAAGTATAAAAGCCACAATTTATAATTTAATATCCAACAATAAGTGATTAGTAGCTATCACTATAGTAAATAACGACTCTTTCATCTTAAAAAATTACAGTTTCAAACAGTAAAAATTGCCATTTCAATATATAGTCCATATTATGAGAAGAAGGGGAACTCAGATGAAAGAGAAGGGGGTCTCATTCTGGGAGAATTTAACATTTGAAACAGTAAAAATTATACTTTTAAAATATACATTTTACCAGTCCAAGCAAGTCAATAATTACAGTTTGATTTTTAGCGATGCGTTTAAAATTTACCATTTTACTTTGTAAATATTGACGTTACTTGTATTAGAAATTTACTAACTTTATTTTATACTTTTTACATATCATAAGATCATTTTTTAGGTAAGGTAAGAGCCCCTATTATTGACACTATAAGAGTGACGGCGAACATTTGAATTTTTTAACCGTATTCAAATTAATCTGACTAATTTTTTTTTGTATTAGACACTTTTTTTGATTCATCAACTTGTCCATTTTAATTTTTATACCTAAATAGTCGTTAATTAAATCCGAACAAAAACAGTTTCACTGTAAAAAAAATCGCGCCAAGTCCACGTTCATAAGACTATTAAGAAAAAAAAATTTTGTTTTCTTTACAAAAAGATATAAAATAAAAAAATTAAAAAATCCAAGTAATCGATATGATTGTATATGATTTTCCGAAATTAGAAAAAATTTTGTTGTAAATTTAAAAATTAAAAAAAAAATTTTGGAACGTATTTAGTGTGCGCGGTTGCAAAATATTTTACTTTTAATGAAATTCGTGAATTCTATTTACTAGGACTTAAAAAAAATCGAAATACACAATATGACGCACACCAAGTACGTTCCAAAATTTTTTTTTTTAATTTTTAAATTTACAACAAAATTTTTTATATTTTCGGAAAATCATATACAATCATATCGATTACTTGGATTTTTTA